AGCTCCTTTTTCTAATTAAAATAAAAAGTACTCTTGAGAACTTTATTTAGCCTCCGTATTGTTCATGGCTGAATTCATGGTTGAATGTGGGCTGAAATGTAGATTTGTAAGTGCACCCTGAGTTGAAAAAGGTTGGGAACCGCTGCTCTAAAGAATTGTAGAGGTATTCTTCAGTTAAAGAACTTGTATAAATGAAGAAAAATGGGACTATATGAAGCAGAATGTGAATACGTTTATGTACTCTGGTCCTGCATCGGTAAATATGTGTGATGTCTGTTCGGAGAAAGCGGCAGGAAATATCAGATTATTTTCTTCTCCCTGCTCCTTTTCGGGTACGGTGTGTTTATAGAGACATGTTTTGTTAATAATTGTTATCCATTAAGTTGTGCATACCATGAACGGAACAAACACAAATGAGATGAAGTCTCACCATATGTGATTTTGGCGGTTTCAGGTCCGTTCAGCGCCGAAAAGAGACTGGAGAGATCCAGTTCTCTCACTCCCAACATTATCTCCAAAATGGCAGCGAGGTCTTCCTCCAAGACGTACCCGTTGACCTCGCTCTCAAACATCTGCCCGAAAACACGTAAGCATTGAACATAAATCTTGTTATTTATTTACTTTGTATTCATTGACATGTTGTCCAAGATATTAACTGATTACGTCAAACAAAAACACAAAGAAAATGTATAATTGTTTTTTTGTAAAGCTTCTTTGAGCACCATGAAAAGCGCTTAAAAAGGTAATGTATTATTATTATAAATTGACCGTCATATATAAAGTACTGCTATGTGAGAGGAAAGCAGGGAAAACATAATATATAATAATCATAATCCTAATGAAAATTAAGGGACATGTACATAAATAATACTATAAAATAAACTATGTATGTGAGCTTATTGCAAAACAGTAAAAAAAGGGACATGTCAATCTAATAAGTTCCTATTAAACGCATTCATAAAAAAACATACTTTAATTGAGATTAAAGGTCAATGTGCTCACCTTAAAGGCCAGTTTGAGCGTCTCCATGGCCTGTGACGGTCGATGGACGGTCGACAGCGCGATGACAAAGAGTCGGATGTCGATTAGTCCGTCTCCACGCTGGAAAAAAAGATCGTAGCGAGCAGGAGAAGAAAAGGACATGATGTGATCCTGCATGAAAAGGTCATTTGCAATCATCATCATCATCAGCTAGAGGAGGAAGCATCAAACTCACATTTCTTAACTGTTTGGCAGCTTTCTGGTGAATGTCCACAAGAGGGAGCTAATGAGCTATTGTCAGATCAGTGCTACACATAAAACCTTAAAGGTCTCATGTCATGCTTTTCTGGTTATTACCCGTCCCCTTGTGTGTTATGAAGGTTGTTCTACATGTAAACGGTCTGCAGAGTCACAAACCCTCAAAGTTCACCCT